AAGTACTATTTCATGTCAGGCAAGACACTTCACCCACTGTGTGTGTGTGTGTGTGTGTGTGTGTGTGTGTGTGGTGGCACAGAGGGCTGGTTGCCCCAGGGCAGCTGTGGCTACAGTAATAGTTTAACACCACTGTGTGTGCAGTGAATGAATAAAACCATGTGAAGCTTCTTTCAGTCCAAAGAGTCTCTGTATAAAACTGATGCATTATTATTCCTTATCGTTTACATCCTCCAGGACATCTTTGGGGCTTTGTTTTGAATAAATGTAGGAAAACAAAATTCTATTTTCTGTTATTTTCAGGATCTAGACAACTAAACTATTATCAAATTTGTAATAATTTCAGCCCTAGATTAGATAGTTTGCTACAATCAATAGTGTCAGTATCTGTGCATATCTGATCAACACGGAGCCGTCATAGTGTGTCCGTCCTGCTCTGTAGTGTTCTGTTGTTTTCTAGATTAGATAAAACTTTGTCATTACAAAGTCAGAACAATGCAACATAAGACAGTTTAGCATCAGCCTAAGTGTAAGACAGAATAACACAGATAAATATACGAGTACACACATACATTACATCACATGGTAGTATTCTGTAGTATTTGCACAAAGCTGAGAGCCCTCTCCGTGGAGCTGGCAGGGGAGGCGGCAGCACGGACCCCCTCCTGTGCCGGGGATGCTCGGTCTTTCATCCCGCTGCTCCCTGGGCAGCTCTCGTTTGTCTGCAACATGGCTGAACTGGCAAGCCCCTAATTGGATGTGTTCAAACCCAGACTGTGGCAAAGATGCGACAAATGCTGTATTGTGTTTCCTGCGGCCTTGATATCTGCCCATCACTGCAGACTTTACCAAAACTAGCTAAAAACAGGCTAACAAACAACTGCGGTCTCCTGTAGCGGGCCGGTTAGTTACATGTGATTGGAAAATGATTGATTCTTTGACCTAATGTTGTGTTTGTAAATGTATTTTATTTGTCATGGATATTGTAGACCCAGGGCTGAGGCTGTAGACCCAGGGCTGAGGCTGTAGACCCAGGGCTGAGGCTGTAGACCCAGGGCTGAGGCTGTAGACCCAGGTCGTCCACTCCGTATGGACCAATGCCTCTTTTTTTATTTATTTTTTTATCGTTGTAATCTCTGATCCTACGGTTTTACCAAAATGAATTGAAATAGGAAATTATGGTATTTACTCTTTTAGTCGACTAATAAAGATACATTCAGATGATTTCAGTCCATTGTTAAGTTAATTCAGTTTATTTAAGTTGTGTTTTGAAGTTTAAGCCCATTATTCACATCAGAACCAAAGACCGTGTAGGACTATAGTTACTCAGAACCAGTGACAAAGTGGGTTTTAAAGTCTCTCTCGTCTCCCAAAAGTTGAGAAATTTGAGCAGTAAAAATGCGTAATAAATATTGTCAGTTTTATGTTTTAATAATCCGGAGCAACAAGCAGAAAGATTGTGTTTCGTTTATTAATTTATTTTTAGGTCTTTTTACATTTCTATTATTACTGTGCACTTCAGGTAAATGGATAACGTCTCCATGGCAACGAGTGAATGGGTTGTTCAGTCCCCTCCGACTGCGGACCGCGTACTCTGTGTTTGGGCATAAAGTGCAGCTGCCACTAAGTTTTGCCACTGATTTTATATCTACTGTCGTTTCTTGAATGTTTTGTAAAAATGTGGTTGTCTTTCCAACAGATGGATTTATCACGGCTCCTGTAGAGAAAACTTAAGTGATAAATAAATACAGAAAGAACAGAGAATATAGCATTTGGGCACGATTAATTTGAATGTTTTGAATTCCCCCTGGCTCTAACATTATTATTATTATTAATATTATTAACTTCATTTTAAACGCAGATTCTGTTTATGTCCATTATACTATTATTCTCCAACAAAAAAAAAACATTTCCGATGGTTAACGTCTGAGTGGAGCTTGCGTTGTGAGCATTATTTCACATGCGTCACATATAAAAGGGGCAGAGCACAGAGCAATACGGCAGGACTCGTTTATTTTTTTATATATATTTTTGGAGTCATTCCTCATCAATACAGACGGGTCGCTGATGTTCCGGGATATTTATGCACAATAACGTTTTCATTCGTGGACAGTGGTCATCCCAATGGCTCCTATACGTTTGTTATCATTGCATTTCCAGTGTTGATTCTCTGATCTGCTGCTGAATCAACAACTTTGTGAAGTCCTCCGGGATGACTGCTGATGTGATTTTAGTGCTGTACAAAAAAAACATGGAGTTGCATTGACTACAGAAGTCCAATTTAGATCCATAGATAATTTAAAATCTTCTAACTATACAACAGACCATAAACATCATAGACCGTCGCCATAGTAACAGACAGACTCATGGTAGATCCTCTTTCTATTTCTGACCATTTTCAAAGCTAGAATTAAGAGACTCACCATTTCTTGTCCTACTTTTTTTTAAATCTTGTTTTATTAATACATTTGTCTGGTGCATACTGGGACATTTTTACATCTATCCCGATGTGTGTTTTTGTTTTCTGCAAATCACAAATAGAATGAATCTGAATCGTCTGAAGATATTGATCCATCCAAATCTCTCTCTCAACTTTCTGACTCAAAGCCGTGAATGAAAATAGTAGTAAGCGTGTAAATACTACACAGACTGGACCATAAAAAGTCACTCCTGGAGAAGCTGCCAGCGTTGGTTTGGTATTAGCGGTTAACCCCTGGCCTTTCACAGTAGTAGGGTGTGTTCGCGAGTTGCGCCACAGAACTCTGGCCTCTCCTTTGGCTTCAACACTTCTTCTGCTCAGATTAAAGTCAAAGCCAAAAGGTCTGTTTTTTTTTTTTTTATTTATTTTATTTTTTTTTTTTTTTTGGAAGACCTGTATCAACCAGTCGTCCAGTAGAAAGTTGGGTTTAACTATGTATTTTTGGTATTTATATTTATATTGGCAAAAAACACAATTCTAGATTAGATGTAGTTAAAAATGAATTCCCTACACCAACATTCTTACACTTTTGATGGTTCAGGTCTTGTCTATCTCAAACAAATAAGAAAATGTATGAATCAACCCATATAGTGAAATGTAAAAAAGGAGAAAATATTAATTAGTTTTACAGACATTTAAAGCCAATCTTGAGATGTGAATATCCCCGAACTACTGTTTTCATTTAAATCCGTATTTGAAAAGATTATGATTTTATTAATACCTTTTGACAGATTAGGGCCCTTTAATGATGACTTGACTTGAAAATCTTGCATATTGCTACTTTAAAGGTATTTTGTTTGTTTGTTAGAGGTACAATGCGTAATGCTGCTTTATGTAAGAAGAAATGTGTCGTGGCTTTGTGGACCACAGCCTCTGAACGGCTTTTATGGACTTTATCCACATTTATGGACATTGGATTTGTTTGATTTTCTGATCTGTGTTGGTGAATCATTAGTAAAGGGCTTCGTTTTACATTAGGACAGTTTTCCCCCAGATGTACTTTTTGGGATCAAAATTAGAACTCATTATTTTCCATTGTTGGGTTAGAGAAATGGTAAGAGTTTGTTAGTTTGACCCTGACCCAAGACCATGAAAATCCTCTCCCAGTCCATTCATTCATTCATTCATTTTCTACCCCTCTATTAGTCCATTTCTGGGTCGGGGGGTGTCAATGAGAGCTGCCACCCACTGCAGTCTCCAGTCGCTGTAAATACATATTTTTTTCTGTTCGATGTAGATGAGTTTTATAGGCGTCAACATGTACCCCTTTGGAAATGGCTGAATCCTTTGGGAGCCTCTGGGAAGGGGGAGGTGAGGTTCACTGGGTTCTTCTAATATACGTTTTGTTTTTCTGTGAGGTTAGTCCAATAATGAAGGGATTTCAACGATTTTGTACATTGAAATTGAAGAGGTATTAAATGTTGTTTTTTTTTGGGTTGTGCAATTTAACCGCCATCATTGTTTTAAGCAGTTTTGTGACTTTCCTTCTGCTATGCCAAAGATTTCTAGTTGTTAAGGAATGATTTGTTGGTGTTAAATGTAGATTACCAGGTTTTGCTCCAGTTTGATTACAACACAATGACATCAGCTCAATCGCTCATGATTTAGAATTCTCTCAGGAGTCAAACTAGGTCTGTGTCACTAGGTTTAGTTCAGTTAATGGTTAGACACAAGATGCAAGTGTGGCCTGGCTACATAGTGCAGCTTCCTGGTGTCTGCCCACCACTGCAGCTTTAAACAGGAGGTAGAGGGCTGCAGGCTAGGTAAGCTGATCCTGCCCCAGCTGAAGGGGACATCAATGAGGCGGCCGGAGCCATCTTGGCCAAATTTGGTCAGGGAATGTTGTGTTTCTGTTAAGACTTGTCTCCCGGACTGTGCTGCTATCGTTGTGTGCGCTACCGGTGGAAAGTAACATTATGGGAGAAGAAGAAACGCATCATTCTGTTGTGTCAGGATGGTAATGCACGATGGAGGGGAGGAGGGGAGGGGAGGGGGGTGGGGTAGGGTAGGCCAATCTGCTGCTGCTGGGTTTTAATGCAGTTTTCCTGGGCAGCACCATTGGGCCTACACGTGCCCTACCCCTGCTGCATATAGATCAGGCGTAATCCATTAGCGGCTCCCTGGAATCCAGCCGGCACTGCACAGCACCAGAGGGGCCAGGGGGAGAGGGTAGTGTGGGTGAGGGGGGAGGAGGGATGAGAAGAGGAAGGGGTGGGGGAGGGCGAGCTGGCTTCTTTAGAGTGAGCCCAGCCCCCTTTTATGTTGGTTTGCTGGAAAAGCCTCTTGAATCCCACCATAAAGCCTGCAGAGGTGTGTGTATGCTGAGAGAGGGCCTTGACTGATATATGGCTTCCTGGCTGGCATCGCACTAAAGCTTCTACTCTTCTTTCTCCATTACTGTGTCAGGATGGAGTGCTGTCCACCCCACGTGGCTCCGTCTTAATAGAGTTCACGTCTCGGTAATGTATTCCAGAATATCTTATTATGTTTTAGATGAGAGCCTGAAGACTGTGGGCTGTGAATGCCCAGTAAAGAGCTGGTGAAGGAGGGTGTGCAGCGCAGGGGGAGGGGAGATGGCCACAAGAAGTGTCAAAGAAGAGACAAGCTCGGGCCTGAGCGCAGAGTAATGACTGCTCCAGCTGATTGTATCAGGCTGACTGACTCCCAAACAGCCTTCTGCGAGCGCTGTGTGCCACAAGCCCACGGTTAGACCCTGTGCTACACTGTTGTTATGGATTCTCAGTCAGTATTATGACAGTCACTGTGCGAACATCACTGGAGCAATGGGCTGAAACTATCATACTGCAAAATGCATCCACAAATGGAAATAAACTGCTGTTGATCGGTTACAGCTTATTGATTGTCTTACATTTGGATCTGCCGATGGAACAAACATGTTTATTATTGATTGGTTTTTTTTATTGACCTTTTTAAGGTATTGTACTATTGCATGGTATTAATGTATGGATGGATTCACCTGTTTTTTATGGACTTTTGACTTCCTCTTGATTTATGTTTTTAAATGTAAAACTTAGATGGAAACTAGGTGTTTGCTAAATCTAGCTGCCACTCCTGTGACTGAGTACACTGTTCTTATAGATAAATAAAATGCGTTACATAATAATAATACGTAAATACATTGCATTTTCAGACAAATCCTCATCAGTCGGGTTGAGCACTTGAAAAAGAAGTAGTAATACACTTTTTGTGAATATATCATTTCTGTGTGTTGTTGATTGGCATTTCCAGCCTGAACTCAGTGGCTGACAGTAATTGAATGAGTAAAAGATTCTGTTTGGAGGGTGAGATGTTTCCCTGGAGGATCAGGTGCTGCTCTGATGTCGGTGCCACGCCCGCCCCCCTCCCCCATCTCTCTCGGGCTCATGTGTAGTTTTACCTGCTCAGGTGTCACCTAATCCCCCCCCCCCTGGCTCACAGTGCCCCCCGCCCACAGACAATGGAGAGGGCTGACATTACCATGACCTAATGGGGAGAGGGCGCTTCCAAAGAGGGCATCCTACAAACTAGTGTTACTCCACGGAGCAGGAGAATGTGAACGGCCCCTGGAGAAGTTGTTACTTTACCCTTTTCTTCTCCGCCCTTTGGCTTTTGTGCCGAACACGGCGAGTGTGTAAAAGCAAAACCCGATCTGTCCACGAGCAATTTGTGTCAATGGAAGACGATAGCGGTGGAAGTGGCAGCAGCATCACATACGACTGGTTTAAAGTAGACTTAAAAACCACAATATTGGATTAACCCCTGTAGCATCCTCTGTGACAAATATGCAACATGAAGTTCAAAGGTTATGGCAAAAGTATGATTTTTTTTTTTAACTTATGAATGTGGTCTTTCAATGGTGCTTTCGAAAAACAGATTTTTACAAGAAATGGTTTTATGTCTGGGTTTAACACGGTTATTTTACTTAACACCAGGAGTCCCAGGATTTAGAAACTACAGGAACATGAACAAGGAGTAATTTTAACAGCTCCCAAACAAATAAATGAATTCATACAGGTTTAGGTTAGAAAGTAATTAAATTTTTATCTTTAATACACGATAAAACCATTTAGTATAAATGAAAATTAGCTTTTTTTTTATTGCATTCCAAAATGACTGAAGGTGTTTTTGTTCTTCTCTCTTTCAGCTTCAGGTGGTGCACGCGACGGAAGCCAGAGAAGGGAAGTGGAAATGGAACTGCCAAATCATGCCAAACAACTGTTGCTGCAACTCAACCAGCAGAGAGCCAAAGGCTTCCTGTGCGACGTCATAATCGTGGTGGAGAATGCACTGTTCCGTGCCCACAAGAACATCTTGGCAGCAAGCAGCATATACTTCAAGTCTCTGGTCCTTCACGATAACCTCATTAACTTGGACACAGAAATGGTTAATCCGTCTGTGTTCAGGCAAGTGCTGGACTTTATCTACACTGGGAAGCTCCTCTCCTCTTCAGACCTGAGCAATGAGCAGAACTTCAGTGCCCTTTTAACCGCAGCTAGCTACCTCCAGCTCCATGACCTTGCTGCTCTGTGCAGAAAGAGACTGAAACGTGGTGGTGGGAAGCCCCTTCCAGGCAAACCCTCCACACCAGGCCCTCTCAGCCGCTTACGCCTCAACAACCAGCACCTTTCCTCCTCCACCCCCACAGGGCCCAATAACCACTACCCCCCCACATCCTCCGACATAGACCAACCACAGCCCGATGAAGGCCTTCGGGACAAGCTCTCAGATGATGAGATGTTTGTCGGCAGCTCTGGAAAAAATGCAGGGAATGGCAGCAGTAATGGAAACCTCAGCAGTGGTGGCAGCGCTGGAGAGCCTGATCTCGGGTTGGATCTGTCCAAAAAGAGCCCTCCCTCTGCAGGAACTGCCACTGATGCCCTCAGCCCTCACAGCAACTCCCAGGAATCCCCCCAATCTGCCTCAGTATCCACAACCAACAGTGCCTCACTGGATGACTCTTCAACCACACTCCCAGGAGTGGACAACTGCTTGGACCCGATAGAGGTCTCCTCCAAAGTCTCTGATGATGGCATATTGCAGCCTGACGGACCACCCCCCCAGAAAAGATCCAGACAGGGCTCTAGAAAAAACGAATGGCCCAGGAGAGAGGCGTCAGGATTGAAATCTGAGGACATGCCCTTAGTTAACGGGGTCATTGTTGGTCCCAAAGATGGCCGCTCTGGTGCTGGGGCGGGCAGTGCGAGCAGCTTTACCTCCGATCAGTCATATCAGTGTAAAGATGAAGAGGACGGTGGGGAGAACGGCCAGGACCACAGCGAGGACAGTGCTCCGAGTGACGGGGAGAGCGCAGGCTGTCGAGGAAACGGAGGGGGCCACCGCAGCACCAACAACTATGTTTTCCGACAGGAAGGCTTTGAGCCAGCACTGGGGGACAACCTGTACGTGTGCATTCCATGTGGAAAGGGCTTCCCCAGTTCTGAGCAGCTCAACGCTCACGTGGAGACGCACACAGAAGACGAGCTCTTCATCAAAGAGGAGGGAGGGACCCCAGTGAAGGAGGAAGATGAGGAGGAAGCTGCAGAGGACCTCTCGGCCACAGTCGGGCCTTCCACTTTTGGCACAGAAACACGTCCATTCAAGTGCACAGTCTGCAGTAAGAGCTACAAAGACCCGGCTACACTACGGCAACATGAAAAGAGCCACTGGCTGACCCGACCCTTTCCATGCAACATCTGTGGGAAAATGTTCACCCAGCGGGGCACCATGACACGCCACATGCGCAGCCACCTCGGCCTCAAGCCGTTTGCATGTGAGGAGTGTGGCATGCGCTTCACGCGGCAGTACCGTCTGACCGAGCACATGCGCGTGCACTCGGGGGAGAAGCCCTACGAATGCCAACTGTGTGGAGGGAAGTTCACCCAGCAGCGCAACCTCATCAGTCACCTGAGAATGCACACCTCACCGTCTTAGAACATAATCAAGCCAAAGAACTCTGGGAATAAAGTAAGGACATCTGTCTGCCTCGTCTAAGGCAAAGAAACGCACATACACACCCTCCCCCCGTCGGGTCCAGGTTGCATCACTTTGGTTCGGTGAACATGGACAGTTTTGACCACAGCTGGTCGGCTCTGGAGGACGGTGAGATGCTGTTCTGTGATGTCTGCTCACCTCCCAGGAGTTTGAAGGGACGGTCTCTGCAAAGTCATGTAGCCACAACCAAGGAGTATCACTGCTACAGTTTATAAATGTGAATGTGGATGCAGATGTCAAGACCCACCCTGAAACCCTCGGTCAACCAGCTACCTTTTACACATGTCTCAACTGTCCCTCCACCTTCACAAATGTACGAGTGCTGTCTGTATTTCAGTGCTACTTTGACCAAAAAACCTTTGCAAACTATTACTGGCAATAATTTACAAAGTTGTTTTTTAGCCTAACAGCTTTATATCCTTTGGTGGGTCGCTGGGTTTGGGACCATCTCCTTGCTTTAACAGAAAACCCAGAAGGACGGTGACATGACATTGGATTATGATTTGTTCGGTCTCGACGTTCAGAGCATCTCTACAGCAATCCGTGGAAAACGGTCACAACGTTATTTTAGTTTTTTGCCTGCTCGTGCACCCAGGGAGCGAGGTCCTGGTCAGCGGTACACCTTTTACTTAAAGAACTTTTAATGTTTCAGTGAATGTTTGAACTGGAAAGTCTGGGGATTTTTCTCGTAGAGGGGAGGGATGGGGTTTGGTGTTTTTATTTTGTTTTTTTTGTTTTTTAGTGGAATTGGTCAGAAGAGGATGCTTTTTGTCTGAACTCTGTCGGTTCAGTCGGTACATGACTTTATTCGTTCTTGACTGTATAGCTTTCCTCCCCTCATGAAAGAAAAGTCTATTTGGCTTTTGACTTTGCTACCTCTGATACTCTTTTACAAACTCTATTGTGTAGTATGTAATTATTGTATAAATTGTGTAGATTATGGTAACTTCTCACCCGATGCTTTAGCCTGCCCATCTCTCAACACAGGTTTTAAATGGGACCTTTTTACAAACAACCTTATTATTATCAGCTTTTCTGATTTTTCTCCTCAAACTGGCCCCCATTCAACACATATCACAACTTCTGTCCGTTCTGCAGCCGACGGTTGGTTAGTTTAGATGTTAAATATTCCAAAGATCTTTTGAATGTCAAGGAGAACAAAACTAACAAACCTAGTGCTAGAAGTCCATAACCAAAGCTTTTCTTTTTTTTCCCCTAAGACTTGTACTTAAGATATATAGCATACTAAATTATTACACTTTTATTTTGCTGTATAAAAATATTATATTCTAATGCTAAAGAAACTCGCCAATGAATGAGGAAGGAAAGCTTGTGCTGATTGGTGGGCTGGTGTAAACTTTCCCGAACGACGGTAAAGTTTAAAACATGTCTTGAGTTATATCTAGATCCTTATCACTTTATATTCCCTGGCTTTGATGACAGGACTTGATGAAATTTTATGTATTCTGTTCAGACCAAAAAGAAAAGAAAAAGATAGGAAATATAATCAGAATTTTTAAATGTGAAGTTGCTTGTTTAGTCTTTGAGCCAGAATTGTGAAAACTTGTACCAAGAAGGGAGGAGCCGGGACGCAGTGGACGGAGGTGAAGGACTCTTGGGCGGAAGACAAATAACCAACTGAAAAAACACAAAAGCTTTATTCCGGTTTAAGCTCAAAGACACACATCGATTAGCTTTGAACGCTGCTTTGGGAGTTGCTCCACTGTCCTTTGTCTCCTGGCTCCAAACGGTCCCGACTGTGCAGCATGATCCTTCGCTACAAGTTTTTGATATATAGGCATTCCTCTCTCGTATTGGTTGATCCTTTTTCCGTTGGTTTTATATCTCTCTTTTGTCCTCCATGTTTCTGGTTCTGTATTGACGGTACCTGCGCGTCCTGAATTCCTGGAGTCGTTACTTGCTTCTGCTGAATATTGGTGTCTTTTAGTGATTTGCATGGTACATCTATGCGTCCCCCCCACCCCACCCCACACGCCCTTTACACCCTAAAGCATATATAACCCATGTTGCTTGTGTGACCCCTCGACACGAAAAGGGGGCGTCGACAATGCATTGCCTTCAAAATATTGTACTCGTCAGCGCTACTACTGCGGTACATCTGAATGTCATGCAAGAGGTGTGTTCCTGAACGACAATATTCTTTAGCCATCTCTGCAAACAAGTTTTTTGCAGCTACGTTTATATGCCTGCTTGTAAGACTAGAATCTCCAAACTGTGACCATACTACTATTACTGCTAGTACTACTACTACTACTACTACTACTCGAATACTTCAGGGATTGCTCTGCGTTTGTTCATGCAGACTCTCAGCTACATTTGTAAGACATAGTATTGTATCAATTTGTCTGTATTTTGACAATGGGAAAGGCAAAAACACTAGTTTCATATTTAGCCCTTTCTGGGGGGTACTTTTTCAACTTACACAAGCCTTGTCAAAAGGTGAGGCAGCTCAAACTAGGTGACATTTTTGTTAACGACAGTATGTTTTCAATAGTTGCAACGTTGTACAAAGAACTTAAGACGAAAAAGCTCATACCCAAATTCACAAACTCTATTTTTTAAACCAAAGCACATTTGAATGACTGTGGAACCGTGTGTGGCTCTGAGAAAGAAAAAAAAAAGAAAAGAAAAAGAAACATGTATTTATCTCATTGTTTACAAACCTACAGTTTTACAGACCTCAGCAGAGGCTCGGCCAGTCAGAGAACCCGTGCTCCGAGAAGGCGTGAGGAGGGAGAGGTTAGAGGAGAGGAGAGGGCAATGCCAAATATCACAATAACACATGACGTTGAGTTGAATATTCATCAGTGGGAGGTGGTTTGAGTGCCAGCTGGCGGCGAGATGACCCCCACGTCCCAGTCCTCCTGCCCTCTGGCCTGCGCTGCTTCAGATGGGGGTGGGTGGGCAGCTTGTTCCTGATGTATTAATCAAAAAAAAAAAAGGCTTTGTTTGAGAGACCCGTGAGTTCCCCCTGAATGCTCTCCAGAACTACTCCGCTGCTTGCGAGTGGCATTCGGGGCGAACCGTGAGGCTCTTCCGCTCTCCTGTGGGCGCCTTTTTGAAAAAACTGGTGAATGTAGTTTTTTTGGTCAGGTCTAAAGACAAGTAACTGCTATTCTTACTGTGAATGTTATTTGTTTTTATCTTCTTAATAATGTTGCAGGTACTTGAGCCGACTTTAGGCTGACTGCGGCACACATACCTCTGGCTGGCCCGGCTTCTGTGATTTTACAAAGTTGGTGCAAACACGTTTTAAGACAGTGTTGTTTTTGTTTTGTTTTTATTATTATCAAATGTCTATTGTCGGTGATGAATGTATTTATTTCTGGTCTTGAACTCACCTCTTCAAAAATTTTAACTCAAAGCGTGAGACTGAGGTGGAAGCAGGACCCCTTTATTTTTATTTTTTTTATGTGTTGAGGATTTCAAGCTGAGAATCAAAACGCGATACAAAACATAGCCATTAACCACAACATGTGACGATTCTGTGACTTTTGATGTAATTTCTTTTCCACCACACACTGGTCTATGGCAGAGGTGTCCAACCGGGTTCTCCAAAGACCTGGTTCTGTGGCTGCCAGTTTTTTTAATTACCAACCAAGCAGGAACACGCTAGTCTCCCTCCATTTCCTCTCGTGAATCGTCAATTCCACTCTATGAATGTATAGTGTATAGCCCTAAATCACAGCAGCAGTCGTCGATTTGCTAACACAAGCAAAATCCTCAGAGAATCAAGCGGTACGGACACGGGAAATGCAATAACAAACGGAGACCACTGTCCATAAATGCCCTTAAAATGTCCTTAAAAGCCAGTTCATCGCCACTGTCCTTAGACCCTTCTGCATCAGCGAAAAGCCACTCAAGTTCAGTCTCAATTCATTTCAATGTATTTATGTAATGCCCTATATCGCAACAAGCCGTAATCTCGGAGAACTTGGCAATTGGACGGTCGATTCGCCAACAACAGATCAGAGAATCAAACCGTTTGAACGCAGGAAATGCAATGTTAATGAAACACATAGAGCCATTGGTCCGTTAGAGACAGATGAACAATATCCATAAATGTTAGTAAATCTCCCAGACCATATCTCTCGTCACCACTGCCCCTAGACCCTCCTGCTTCGGCAAGTAACATCTCGAGTCCAAGTCTTAACTCGAAAACCTTTGAAGCAATGTGTAGACTCCGTGTGTGTGCGCTCTTGCTTCGGTTTGGCCCGAAAACCTGCAGCTACACCAACCCTAACCCTATCTCCGACCAGTTGGACGCCTCTGCCTATGGTACTTTGAATATCATCCTTCTCAGTCTTATCTGTCACGATATGGGTGTTTTGTGCCCATTTTTCTTTTTGAGTTCTAGCTGAATGTGAAGCAGTCGGGGGGCTGAGAATCGAACCCCTCTGCGTTTTTATTCCATGTTTTCACGGACAGATCCACTGCGACTGTGCCTGTGCGTCATGGAGCTACTGTATATTCTTTGTGCTCTTCCTGGGTGCTGCCATTTTGCCAACCGTCACAAAAAAACTGTTACACGCCCACATACATTAAAAAACTCACGTCTTTTCTCAACGTTTACTTTCAGAATGGAACTTATACTACTATATATATATATATATATATGGATATATAGCTTTACTAAGTGCACTTTGCATGTGTTTCATAACCACTGGGAAGAATGAGCCCGCGTGCTTTCATATCACTTCCTGTTTTAATATATTAACAGTCTTACGGCCGTGCACCTCTTTACCTCATCTGTTGTGCGTGTGTGTGTGTGTGTGTGCGATCGCGTCATTATCCAGTGTTAGAAAAGCTTTAAGAAGGATCGTCTTTATGTGAGCTTGAAGTAAACTTTTCGTCGGACCTCCCCAGTGTGCGCGCCTTTCCTCGGCACGCGGAAAAATCAAAACCAAAGGCGGCCCCTT